ACGCGATGAGCGAGGATTTTCGATGGCTCGATCGTCGGCTCGGGTACTGGGTTGACCGTAGGATTATGTCGAGATCAGTTGTATTCGGGACGAACGGTCGCAGGAGACTGACGTGGAATGAATCGTGGATTCGCCAGTCGCTCGGTAGTTGCAGTTGGGCGGTGACGGGTGTCACCATGCGGATGATACGGAATGGGCCGCAGAATCTTGGTCGTAGTTTTTTGGGAGGGGAATCCCGAAATTTCGAGTGTCGAGCAGGACCAATTGCCGAGGGGCAAGAGTTAAGTTACGGCGTCGTCGGTCAGCTTGCTGCTTAGCCCGTTGGTTGGCTTTGAGTATGGCATCAGCGGCTTTTTGCTGAGACTGCCGGAGATTGTCGACGAACTGCTGCGACCTTGGTGCCGGATTTTCTATCGGTGGCGATAGAGGGGTTGTCGGGTCTATCCCGTAATTTAGGAAGAACGGGGACTGAGTAGTCGTGGCTGATGGGGCGTTGTTGTACGCAAACTCGATCAGTGGAAGAGAATCTTCCCATTGGGTCGGGTCTGTGCACGTTGTACGAAGCAGCTGTTCCATCGTCTGATTGGTGCGCTCAGTCTGGCCGTCCGATTGCGGGTGGTATGCCGTGGACAGATGCAGACGTGTGCCGTACTGCTGCCAGGTTTTTGTCCAGAAATTGGACGTGAACCGAGGGTCGCGATCGCTGATGATGGCCGAAGGGATGCCGTGTAGTCGCACGATGTTCGTGAGAAACAGCTTCGCTGTCTGCTCGGCAGTGATTGTCGTTTTGCAGGCGGCGAAGTGTGCCATTTTGGTCAAACGGTCAACGACGACGAGAATCGCGTCATTACCGCTTGGACCAGCTGGGAGGCCAGTGACGAAATCCATTGTCACTTGTTACCAGGGTCGGCTGGGTGGCTCGAGCGGCTGCAGTAATCCCGCAGGTCGAAGTCGTGACGACTTCATGCGTTGACACGTGGCGCAGGAGGTGACGTACTGCTGGACGTACGTCGATAAATCGGGCCAGTAATAATTACGGCTCAGTAATTTGGCAGTTTTGTCGATGCCGTAGTGACCCGAGAAATTCGAGTCGTGTGCCTCCTGTATCAGTAGCTCGCGTAGGGTACGGTAAGCGGGAACCCAAATCCGATTGGTACCGGATTTTAGGTAATAAACCCCCTGCTTGACTGTCAGTTGGGGATGACTGTTAGTCGTGAAGAATGGGTCGGTACTGTATCCGTGGGTAAATAGTCCAGTTAGCAGCGGATTGGTTTGGGTGATTAGGACAGCGGCGGTATGGACTGAAGGGCGGGTTAGTGCGTCGGCGATGTTGCTGGCCCCTCGTTTGTAGGTAACTCTGTAGTGGAAATTCGACTCGAGATAATCGAGCCAGCGAATCTGTCGTGGGTTGAGTGTCGGTTGGGCGCAGATGAACTGTAGCGATTTGTGGTCTGTTCGGACTGTCACGTCGGCGCCCATCAAGTAGCAGCACCAAACTTTGAAAGCGTGAATGATGGCGAGTAACTCCTTGTCGTGGACGGGATAATTTCGCTCGGCCGGATTCAGCTTTCGTGACTCGTAGGCGATGGGTTGAAGGCCTTCGCCGAAGTCCTGTAACAGTACGGCGCCCACAGCCAGGTCGCTAGCGTCGGTGATGAGTTCGAACGGACGGTGAGGATCTGCAATGCGAAGGACCGAAGGTGTTGTCAGGAAAAGTTTGAGTTGGTCGAACGCAGCCTGCTGCTCTCCCCCCCACTCATAAAACTTGCCTTTCTTCAGAAGATCCGTGAGAGGGGAAGTTACCCCCGCCATGTTCGGGATGAACCGGCGAACGTAATTTACAAACCCCAGGAAACTTTGAAGTTCGCGGAGATTAGCCGGCGGCTTCTAGTCTTGTATGGTCGCGATTTTTTTCGGGTCGATTTTAACACCGTCGATGGAGATAACGTGGCCCAAAAACTCCAGTTCCTGTTTCAGAAACTCGCACTTAGACCCCTTGGTGATGAGTCGATGCTGCTGCAGAAGAGAGAAGACTGCTTCCAAATCCTTCAAATGCTGTTCCCGGGTAGTACTGTAGATCAGGATGTCGTCGAGGTACACAATGACGCATTTATCCAGCAGCGGCCGAAAAACTTCGTTCATGGTTAACTGGAATGTTGAAGGCGCGTTGGTTAAGCCAAAAGGCATGACCGTGTACTCGTAACTCCCGTATCGGGTTCGGAACGCCGTCTCGTAGCAGTCAGCTTCGTTGACACGGATCGGGTGATAACCGCCTCGCAGGTCAATTTTCGAAAAGAACTTTGCCCCACGAAGTTGGTCGATGAGTTCGTCGGCGCGCGGAATAGGATAGCGAGACTTTATTGTAACCCGGTTTAAGGCGCGGTAGTCGATGCACATTCGTAGACCGCCATCTTTCTTCGGGGTGAACAGGATCGGAGCTGCGAATGGGGAAGTACTGGGGCGAACAAAACCCTTCTCGAGCAGATAATCCAGCTGGCGTTGAAGTTCCTCCAGCTCTGGTTGAGTCAGCCGCCACTGTGTCCGAACCGTCGGTTGCGCGCCGGGCTCCAATTGGATGGTATGGTCGTGGTCTCGCTCTGGTGGTAATCCTGGCGGTAGGTCGTCCGGAAAGATGTCGGCGTGCTTGCGAATCAAAGTCGCCAAGTCGTCGGGGACTGCCGCGCAGAGTTTGTCGATGTCGGCTGGTGCGTCGACGGCCGTGGATGCGATCCATCAAACGGCGTATAGCTGCGCCCCGCGAATCATCGCTCGCTTGATGGTAACCACGCTGACTGTCGCAGAATCTGGATTGTTCCACTTTGGAAGTCGTCGCCACTCGCCACTCCATTTGATGCGACAGTCACCTGTCCGCCAATCGATGCTCGGATTGTACTCGCGCAGCCAATCGCGTCCCAGCAGCATGTCGCAGCCGTCCAGTGTGGTCGCCAGCATCTTCGTCGTGAAGCTGAAATTTTCGCCTCAGGTGACTCGTACGTGAGGCACTCGCTCCCGAATGGCCAGGGGTGTGCCATCGACCAATCGCGCGTCGATTTCGGGTAGACACCGCTCCAGTTGCAGTCGCAATTTTTTCGCTTTCGTCACATCCATTAAACTATGGCTTGCCCCGCCATCAACAAATATTTTTATGCGGGTATCACCAACTCTCCCTTCAACCAGCACAGGGTGGTCAACCGGTTCACCCCCCTTATTCAGCCAGGAATGGTCGATAGCCCAAATCGGCACTATAACCTGGTGGGGGTGGTGGCGTTTGGGCGACGTAGTCAAGTCAGTAGGTGGCCCATCTGCTACTGACGATCGCCATTTCCCGACTGCTTCTTGTCGTTAGGTAAGTTCTTCTTCAGCTGCGGGCAGTCTCGCACCATGTGACCCGGCTGGTTGCAGTGGAAGCAGGTCCCCGAAAATACTCGGGCTGCAAACACGTCCACGCCGTTGATTGATGTGTGTTGGGGCTGGCCTCGAAAGCGATTTCCCTCCCGGAAACCCGCTCTCGCGAGTCCACGTCGTGCGTCCAGCGCATCCGCCATGCGAATAGTTTCGTTGAAGGTCGTCGGGGCTCGCAGGACGATTTCTTGTTGAATCTCCGGTTTGAGTCCGCCCACGTAGCGATCAATCTTCTCGTCCTCGCTGATCCCTCCGATTTGGTCGCAGATGGCCAGAAACGACGCCGTGTATTCTTGAACAGGGCCCAACTGTCTCCACATCCGAAGCTTTGTGCGAGCATTTTCGCGCATGGATATGTGCTCGAATCTGCTTTTCAACGCTTCGCCCCACGCTTTCCACGTGCAGATCGTGGTCGAACCAAAGATTGGTTCTGCCGTTGCCGTTGATGAACTCATCTCCCCAGCTGCCGCCCGTTGATTCCCTGCCGGAGCTCCCCCCTCGTCGAGATGCATGCGCCACCAATCGAGTGCCGGTCCCCTCAGCAGTGATACAGCCAAGTTGACACGTGAGGTGTTGTCATTAATACTTGCTGCCGTTCCATGGCAAACAGCCACCCGCTCACAGTGGTCGTCTTGTCTGTCGGGTTGAACGGTGGGGGCATGGGAGGTTTGATTTTAATGGCCGCCCGCGGTTCGCTGTGAATTTCTTCAACTGCTTCAGGTGTCGCTGATGCCTTCGCTTCGCTCGCAGCATCCTCGTCTCGGGTAACAGGCCGCTCCTGATGCGTTTCACCCCGCGTCTGGCGAAGTGACGAGTTTTCATTACGCAGCGTCTGAACTTCGCTTCCCAGCGACTCGAACTTGTCCGCGAGTTGTTGAAGCTGGGCCTGCAGCGTCGTCACTGTAGCCGCCCTGGCTTGCAACTCGTCAAACTCCTCCTGAGTCACGTTCCTAACACTACGACGGGCAGAGGTTTCCGGCGTGCTAGTCATGCTGGAATTTTTACCTGACAGATCTGAGGGTGCACACGCTTTTAGTTGGAGGAGCTTTAACGAGCTCGCCTACCAACCGCTGGCCAACCCCCTATTCTGTCGGGTCCTCTCCCGATATAAACGGACTACTCTACGGAAGACTAAGCGGGCAGGAACGGGGCTCTGATACCAGTTGTTATGAATTAATCAGAGTAATAACAGGTAGTGTAATAAAGGAGTCGTGATTCAACGGTCGTCAATACAAATGAGGACCTAGGCATTTATAGGCACGACAGGGCTAGCCGAGAACCTCGCAAACAGGTTGGGGCGACTCGGTTGGCGAAAGCCACGGAAGCGCCGCGCATTAGGTTTGGGTTTACGAAATGGTTCGGGACCGAGGAAAAAGGCCGGGCCTGGTCTTCCGAGGGCCGAGGGCGTACGCGCTGTAGTTGAGCCCAGTAAGGAAAAGGAATTTTCCTTACATGCCGTGTGCGCTGCGCGTAACTCGCGCGCTTCGTGTCATGCCGAGTCGCACACGCAATCGCGACTTTCTTGCTGAACACGCCGTTGGTCCGAAGTCAGAATGCTTGTTGAACACGCCCCGTCCGAAACCCAACTTTTGCCCCACGTCAATCTGTTTCTCGCCACTTCCACTCCTTTCTTCCACTCAACCACCATTCTCCTTTCTTTCCACCAATCTTCTCTCTTTCTTCTCCCCTTTCCGTACACCTCACGCTCACGCAATACCCGCTTCCTAGTTCCTTCTCGTCCCAAGTCCGCATTTCTCTCCTCGTCACCCCAAGTCACAAGTAGTCCATTGTTGGTGGCGGAACCACTCCAACAGGAGAGAGGTGCGGAAGGAAGGAGAGAGGTGCGGAAGGAAGGAGAGAGGTGCGGAAGGAAGGAGAGAGGTGCAGAAGGAAGGAGAGAGGCTGAGATGGGGCGGACCCATGGGTGCCAAAGCCACGAAGAGTGCTCCGTCTCTCATATCCCCCCCATACCATTCCCTTGTTCCCACAACTCCCTACCCTCATTCCCCCATCCCATATTCCCCCCACTACCTTCCCTGATTCCCCCCACTTCGTTCCCTTATCTCCCCCCACTCCATATCTTTATTCCCTCCCCCTACTCCCATCCCTTATTCCGCCTAACTTCCCCCCTGATCTGCCATGCTCCCCCTTCATCTCCCCCCCCCTCCCCCCCCATCTGCCTAGCTCCCCCCTGTTTTGCCATGCTCCCCTCTCATTCGATATCCCGCCCATAATCTGCCATGCTCTCCACTCCGATTGCCATGTGATCCCCCTCCCTACACCTCCCCTATGCTCCCCCTTCCTTTCCTCCCCCCTGTCCCTCACCTCCCCTATGCTCCCCCTTCCTTTCCTCCCCCCTGTCCCTCACCTCCCCTATGCTCCCCCTTCCTGTTACCCCCCCTGTCCCACAGCAGGGAGGGAGAGAGGCAGGACGGCAGGGAGGGAGAGAGGCAGGAGAGCAGGGAGGGAGAGAGGCAGGACGGCAGGGAGGGAGAGAGGCAGGACAGCAGGGAGGGAGAGAGGCAGGACAGCAGGGAGGGAGAGAGGCAGGACAGCAGGGAGGGAGAGAGGCAGGACGGCAGGGAGGGAGAGAGGCAGGACAGCAGGGAGGGAGAGAGGCAGGACAGCAGGGAGGGAGAGAGGCAGGACAGCAGGGAGGGAGAGAGGCAGGACGGCAGGGAGGGAGAGAGGCAGGACAGCAGGGAGGGAGAGAGGCAGGACAGCAGGGAGGGAGAGAGGCAGGACAGCAGGGAGGGAGAGAGGCAGGACAGCATGGACCAGGGGGGCGTGGGGCGGTGAGTGTGTGGTTTGGCTGATGGCCAGACGGTGAGCAGGGAGCAAGAATGCGACGATGGCCTGGCCCTGGCGTTCGGCTTTCCCACTGCTATGTGGCTCACTCCCAATGGGGAGCTACAATCAGGATTCATTTCCTTGGATCACCCCCGATACTTATCAGACTAGGGCCAAATGTGGATGAGCAATAGACTGGGGCGTAAGAATAAGATACATGCTTCAGGGGGCCTATGGCTGTAGCTACGAGGATCTATGTGGTGGCTAGGATCTATATGCATTCACGCAGAAGTCAATGGTTATAACAAGCTAAGAGCAGTCAGATGCCTACTGGTTGTTCATCATCCGACCTGCTTTGAAAAGCTTGGGAACGGCAAGCAACCTTACAGCCAATAACTCTGGTGTTCTTGCAAATTTAACTGCAGGTTGACTAAGTTCCCCCATGTGACCAGGTGCGCCACAACTATTCCCTCCTTCCTCATGGGCCGTGGGTTACCTGTAGACATTGGGACAACAGGGATTTGGTGGAATGAAGACATAGCTGTGACAGGAGGACAAAGTCCTTCCCCCAATGGCGGGGACCCGCTCCCTCCCTGCACCCTGGTCTCTCCCTCCCTGCACTCCTTTCTCTCTCCCTCCCTGCTCTCTTCTCTCTCACCCTCCCAGCACTCCCTTCTCTCTCCCTCCCTGCTCTCTTCTCTCTCTCCCTCTCTGCACTCCTATCTCTCTCCCTCCTTGGCACTTTTCTCTCTCTCCCTCCCTGCACTTTCTCTCTCTCCCTCCCCGCACTTTCCTCTCTCTCCCTCCCTGCACTCTTCTCTCTCTCCCTCCCTGCACTTTTCTCTCTCTCCCTCCTTGAACTTTTCTCTCTCTCCCCCCCCGCACTTTTCTCTTCTCCCTCCCTGCACTTTTCTCTCTCTCCCTCCCTGCACTTTTCTCTCTCTCCCTCCCTGCACTTTTCTCTCTCTCCCTCCCTGCACTTTTCTCTCTCTCCCTCCCTGCACTTTTCTCTCTCCCTCCCTGCACTTTTCTCTCTCTCCCTCCCTGCACTCTTCTCTCTCTCCCTCCCTGCACTTTTCTCTCTCTCCCTCCCTGCACTTTTCTCTCTCTCCCCCCCCTTCACTTTTCTCTCTCTCCCTCCCTGCACTTTTCTCTCTCTCCCTCCCTGCACTTTTCTCTCTCTCTCTCTCCCTGCACTTTTCTCTCTCTCCCTCACTGCCCTCTTCTCTCTCACACTCCCTGCACTTTTCTCTCTCTCCCTCCCTGCACTTTTCTCTCTCTCCCTCCCTGCACTTTTCTCTCTCCCCCTCCCTTGCCCTCACTCATCTCCCCCTCCCCTGGTCTCACTCATCTCCCCCTCCCTTGCTCTCACTCATCTCCCCCTCCCATGCTCTCACTCATCTCCCCCTCCCCTGCTCTCACTCATCTCCCCCTCCCCTGCTCTCACTCAACTCCCCCTCCCTCGCTCTCACTCATCTCCCCCTCCCCTGCTCTCACTCATCTCCCCCTCCCTCGCTCTCATCATCTCCCCCTCCCCTGCTCTCACTCATCTCCCCTCCCCTGCTCTCACTCATCTCCCCCTCCCTTGCTCTCAATCATCTCCCCCTCCCCTGCTCTCACTCATCTCCCCCTCCCTTGCTCTCACTCATCTCCCCCTCCTCGCTCTCACTCATCTCCCCCTCCCTTGCTCTCACTCATCTCCCCCTCCCCTGCTCTCACTCATCTCCCCCTCCCCTGCTCTCACTCATCTCCCCCTCCCCTGCTCTCACTCATCCTCCCCCTCCCCTGCTCTCACTCATCTCCCCTCCCCGCTCTCACTCATCTCCCCCTCCCTCGCCTCATCATCTCCCCCTCCCCTGCTCTCACTCATCTCCCCCTCCCTCGCTCTCAATCATCTCCCCCTCCCTTGCTCTCACTCATCTCCCCCTCCCCTGCTCTCACTCATCTCCCCCTCCCTTGCTCTCACTCATCTCCCCCTCCCCCCCTCCCCTGCTCTCACTCATCTCCCCCTCCCTTGCTCTCACTTCAATCCCCCCCCTCCCCTTGCTCTCACTCATCTCCCCTCCCTTGCTCTCACTCATCTCCCCCTCCCCTGCTCTCACTCCTCTCCCCCTCCCTCGCTCTCACTCATCTCCCCCTCCCTGCTCTCACTCATCTCCCCCTCCCTTGCTCTCAATCATCTCCCCCTCCCCTTCCTCTCACTCATCTCCCCCTCCCCTGCTCTCACTCATTCTCCCCCCATCCCCTTGCTCTCAATCATCTCCCCCTCCCCTGCTCTCACTCCTCTCCCCCTCCCTCGCTCTCACTCATCTCCCCCTCCCTGCTCTCAATCATCTCCCCCTCCCTCGCTCTCACTCATCTCCCCCTCCCTGCTCTCATCTCTCCCCCTCCCTTGCTCTCACTCATCTCCCCTCCTGCCTCACTCATCTCTGCTCTCACTCATCTCCCCCTCCCTGCTCTCACTCATCTCCCCTCCCCTGCTCTCACTCATCTCCCCCTCCCTGCTCTCAATCATCTCCCCCTCCCTTGCTTCACTCATCTCCCCCTCCCCTGCTCTCACTCATCTCCCCCTCCCTTGCACTCACTCATCTCCCCCTCCCTTGCTCTCACTCATCTCCCCCTCCCCTGCTCTCACTCACCTACCCCTACCCTGCTCTCACTCATCTCCCCCTCCCCTGCTCTCACTCATCTCCCCCTCCCCTGCTTCACCATCTCCCCCTCCCCTCTCTCACCATCTCCCCCTCCCTGCTCTCACTCATCTCCCCCTCCCCTGCTCTCACTCTCCCCCTCCCTCGCTCTCACTCATCTCCCCTCCCTTGCTCTCAATCATCTCCCCTCCCCTGCTCTC